CTAACCCCGGGCAACCAGCCTCGCCCCCATATAAACATCCCCTTATTACATATCTCAAAATGTATATGTACAGTCTATTAAATTTTCAGGATTTAATTTTTGGGCATCTACACTTGATACTGTATAACTAATATTTATATCCAGTATGTACTTGTAAACCATGTGGACAATTCAGGTAGCAAGTCATGAAATATGCCCCTTGTGAATATGGAGAATCATTCCAATGGCTAGTTCATAATATGTTCAGCTCAAACATTGTTCTGAGTCTTTGGCAACTAGCTATTTTTCTTTACTAGCAGACCATGTATACATGGATAAAATAAGAGAAATCCATTTACCCGTTTTACAGATTAATTTAATTGTTTATATAATCATACTTGGAATTCGGATGAATATCTTTATCTTCACACTGTATAACAGCAACTTTTTCTCATTAATTTACAGTAACATCATTTCTAAATTCAGATATTCTCACATGGGACATATACTTTAGTATCGTTGTATTGTTTACAAATTAAAATATTAAATTGATTTCATAAACTTCAAGAATTCCTTGGGAATTCTTAAGGAATTCCTTTAAAATTCCGTGATAATACATGTGATTGTCTATAGTAAGGAAATGTTAAAGGAATTTCAGAGGAAATTTTAGAATTTAGATAGTTGCAATCATGGGTGAGCACATATTTTGTGAAACTGTTTCAAAATAAAATTGCATTTTAATTAATAAAGAAATGCAAGAATGTGAAAGAAACCAAATTATATACAGTGAAACTTTAAAGTGGGAAAGAGATAGGGTGGTGAAATACGGTTAGTGTTCTAAAATACTGAAATATATGCTGTACAGGTTTTATATCAGTGCATGGTTAATATATGTTTATGGGACTAGCATTGCACTATCTCGTGAAAAGGGAATATAGCGTTGAATACAAACTATAAAAACCCATTCATATTTCAATTTTACAAGTAGACAAATTTTAAGCCTTCAGATAACTATAATTCTTTATATAGTACCTTGCTATTGTAGGGGTAACCCATAATAAGGCATGACTGTTAGTGTGCTTTAATTACTCCACAAGAAATAAGGGGCAAGGGATATTGGTAAACAAGTATTACCAATCAATCCTATTCCCTTTTAATTATAATGGCCACTGTGGTCAAAGCACCGTATAATAATTATTATTTACTCTCTAACAGCAGATGATCTTACTCATCAAGGGCAATTTTGTACCTTGATGAGTAATACGCATACAAAATACTAAACTGTTTCATTACATATTTTATGTCTGAACCTTTGACATTGCAACAAAATAGGTTTGGGTGGGGTAAAAAAATTTTCTGGCATTCCACCGGTGGGGTAGCTAGAAATTTTGTTTCGAAAAAGGTGGGGTAATGATTTTTTCCGGCTTCATTATACTTTCTCTTCGGCCCCCACCCCGGCCATAAATAATGACCGGTCCCTAACTCTCAGAAAAACTAAAATGCACTGGCTTCAATTTCCCCCCCTGAGTTAGCCTTCCAGTTTATTTATAGTTCAATGCGTCCAACAGCTCCTTCAATTTCCGCCATCTTGGCAAGGAGTGTGTTGAAATTTCGTATTTTGACTTCGATTTAAAGAATAATATTGTGATTTTATGAACTGAAAACTTGATTAGTGATACGGTCCATTAGAAAAAACTGGAATAAGCTGGGGAAAATGGTATAAAAACTGTTTACGACCTTCAGAGCTATTGGACGTCAATGGCCGCCATCTTGGCTTCACTTTTCTCATTGACCGAATGACTGAAGTTCTTACTCCAGATATATATATATATATAGAGAGCTCACTGATAAAGGCACGCATGAGAAAAAGTCAGTGGAAAAAGTGGAGACATGATTCGTGATCAAGTACGCATTATATTCTATATCTATTATTTCTATGGGGCACACATACTCAAAACATTCGTAACTCATCTACTCGATCACATGATTAAAATGAAGAAGGAAGATCATCCCTTGCACTTTATGCTCCCAAAACGTCAGATGAGCGAATGCAGGTACAGCCTACGAAGTGGGCAAAACAATACTGTTTTGTTTGGGGAAACGATCAGACACAGAACTTTAAGATTAGAACAATTTTATACTTTTAAATATTTTTAATGTTTTAGCCTTCCAGTTTATTTATAGTTCAATGCGTCCAACAGCTCCTTCAATTTCCGCCATCTTGGCAAGGAGTGTGTTGAAATTTCGTATTTTGACTTCGATTTAAAGAATAATATTGTGATTTTATGAACTGAAAACTTGATTAGTGATACGGTCCATTAGAAAAAACTGGAATAAGCTGGGGAAAATGGTATAAAAACTGTTTACGACCTTCAGAGCTATTGGACGTCAATGGCCGCCATCTTGGCTTCACTTTTCTCATTGACCGAATGACTGAAGTTCTTACTCCAGATATATATATATATATAGAGAGCTCACTGATAAAGGCACGCATGAGAAAAAGTCAGTGGAAAAAGTGGAGACATGATTCGTGATCAAGTACGCATTATTTCTATATCTATTATTTCTATGGGGCACACATACTCAAAACATTCGTAACTCATCTACTCGATCACATGATTAAAATGAAGAAGGAAGATCATCCCTTGCACTTTATGCTCCCAAAACGTCAGATGAGCGAATGCAGGTACAGCCTACGAAGTGGGCAAAACAATACTGTTTTGTTTGGGGAAACGATCAGACACAGAACTTTAAGATTAGAACAATTTTATACTTTTAAATATTTTTAATGTTTATACATAGTTTTACAAATAGTTTTAGGAATACTTTAGACTTGTTAATTCATGAGTGTAAATGCTGAAAGAGAGTTTCGATAAACTGCATCACTTATTATTATTAATTATTATCAGAAGAAGAAAATCGCATTAGAAATCGCAGCAAAAAATTCAAGTGTAAACGGGCCTTTATATTAATTTCTGAATCTGTGTTTTGTAAAATTTCACCATACAAGATTGACGCGCTGACTTACCTTTACATTCCCTGATTCTTCGTAAGATGTCCATGAATTGGGTTCATTGCTGTATGAAACCGAGTACGACTTTGCCCATTCATTTTTGTTATAGCATGTTCCCTGGGTTGCTATTCCTGTCACTGTGGTGAGTTGTCCCAGATCAACCTGAAGCCACGAGCCGATTCTCTTTGCTGTTGTAGGTGTCCAAGAGCAGCTAGAACCTGCCTTTGCCAGTCTTGCATAGCTAGGTTTGTAATTGCTGGCATAACTAGTAGATGACGCCGTGATTGCATCATCAGGTATTTTACCACTTGTCATTCCTAATGGTTTGGGATCTATACATGAAGCTTGAATAAAATAGATAATTTGCCATTACACTTGCAGAAATATATGGCTCTATTTTTGGTGTTAATTATTACGTTTATAAGTTTTCTGTTTTCGTATGTATAAAGATCAGGCTTTTAGCTGTCAAATGACACCTTCATTGAATCTTTGCGATTAAAATAACCAATTACGATCTGATTTAAATTAAGTGGTCGATTGAAATCGCACTTTTCCACATTCAAGATTAAAATTCTTTCAATTTTTGAACAATGTCGAGATGCTTGTTGCCCATTTAGGAATTGTATATGGCATTGCCAATGGGAGTTCAGTTTGGAAACTTGAAACTTCCAGTTTTATTATTACTGATTATTATTATAACTGATTAGTTCAAATTTAGTATTTTGGAAATGTTTTAAATATTGTCAATATTTTATTTTTAATTTATATACTCACCATCGATGCGGCAATTGAAGAATCGATAGGTCAAACTTCTTGATTGAACATGCTGGTTTCAACGGTTGGTAATATTTTCTGAACATATTAACATTGTGGGGGGGGGGGAGTGGTCCTGATATTTAGCACAAGTTTTGGTGAACTTTTTGACCATCTTTTCAAAGGTCTCAAAGGACTGAGTCGAGTGGCGGCAGAATGGGTTTTATTTTGGGGGCTAATTTTCAGCTAAGTGCAAACCCGACACGGAAGACATGATCCAACTGTCACAGCAGTAACTAGTAGTAAGATACTTAAAGCTAGGAGTGCTAACAAATCGAATTATTATAAAATCAGTGACAACATGCAATGCCAATATATGTTTAATACCGTGAATAAAGCGATCGACAAAGGTGACAAGCGTTTGCTATATATGGAGCAATATGCAACGTATTATTATATGAATAACCAATCAGAAATCAGATTCTCACGTTACTGATATATATAGCCTACGTTCGTTACGTGCGTTACTAACCTATTTTTGCTCGTATATATATGGCCCTATTCTGTGTTACACATGCATGCAAATAAAGACTTTACTAATACTTACTATTATTCAAACATAATGCTTCATATGCATCAACATATTCTCTAACCATATTTGCAATATCTCTGCAACACTGAGGAGGAAGTGTGTTTCCAGCACCGCATAATGTTTTGTTCGCTTCACTCTTCTCCTCCACTAGTGACTTTATCGAATCACAACAAATCGCTTCACCAAGAGTAGCCATCGAAGGAAAACCAACGAAAATCAGAAAAATCATTTTTGCCATTTTCACTTCGTTGTTGTAACACGTTTGAAAGTTGATACAACACTGCACACAATTGACTTGCGTTTTCGTTTAAAACGTTTAAGCAACTCACGTCACGTGGTAAGTTTTAACCAATTAAATTTCATCGTGATATAGAGCAAAAATCGTGTGGTCACTTCATATGCAAAGCGAAATTGTTTGTTCTTTTGCCGACAAGACGTCTAGTTATCAAGTACCAATTAGATGACTAGATAAGAATTATCTGGTTCACTGAATGTTAATTAAGGTCGTGGCCACACTAGCGCTTGAATCGTGCTTGCTTCAGCCATAGTCCTCTATTAACTATGCTTCAGCTAAATTCACTTAAATCTGTCAACTACGGTGGCGCACAAATGTCACGGCAAACCTTTCTTCAGTCTCACGGCAAACATCACTTTCGCTCGGCAAATGACTTTCTTCTCCCGGCAAAACATCAGTTTCCCACGGCAAAACTTTCTACTCACGGCAAAACATCAGTTTCTCACGGCAAAACTTCAATTTCTCACGGCAAAACTTCAATTTCTCACGGCAAAACTTAATTTCTCACGGCAAAATTTTACTTTCTCACGGCAAAATCGGCGTTTCCACGCGGAGTTGAAGGAAATTTCCTTTTCAAAGGAAATTTTCACAAAATGAAGGAAGCGAAAAGGAAACAAGATTTTAAAAGAAAAATACATAGAAATCATAACACTTTAGTAGTTCAGTCTTTAAAAGTCTATTGTAGCGTGCTATGGCAATGGACTTTTCCCCTTATAACTAAACTTTTGATCTAGACAAAAATTTCATCACAGCTTGAAAGAGCATCACAAAATTAGTAATATTCCAAAGTTTCGTTGCGAAATGTTGTAATGCGAATAATATAGCTTTGAGAAATTTGCCGTTTTTCACTAGTCATTTTGTATTACGCATGGGAAATTGACAGCCCAATCGGGTGTTGGGGCATCAATTTCCCGTTTGTAATACAAAATGACTGAAAATTGCAAATTTCGCAAGGCTATATTATC